GCGAGGACGTCCCGGGTGATCAACACGCCTCTTCTATGGAGGACTTGAAAAACATGCAGGATACGATCCTGAAGACCATCAACACCTGGGTTCGACCTACTAGATGAGAAGCTGGCCTGGTGACCCGAATGGATGAAATATATGAAACTGTCTCAGACTCCTCCCTTTGCACCTTTCTTTTTTCCAAGACAGAGTCTCCTTGTAAACTTATTGATAACAACTTTATTTTGAGAAACTCCCTTAGGCACTATGTATTTCCAAACTTTGAAACCATGCCAGCAAGTTGCCCATTCTATGATCTCATGCTGCTTCCTCCTGACTTCAGGCACCTAATATCTCGCTTTGTGTCCTTGTTCTCCACCTCCGCATCCACTCACCATCTCAGAGAAGCCTGGTCTAACGAGCTGGAGCTTGAGGTGTCTGATGATACCTGGAATGAAGCTTTGACTAGAATTCATACCCGCTCTATCAATGTTAGATACTAATTAATTCAATACAAAGTCGTTCATCGATTGCATTATTCTAAGCTTAAACTGCATAGAATTTATCCATCACTTTCTCCACTGTGTGACCGATGTGGAGGTGCAGAGGGTTCGTTATCACATCTTTTTTGGTTATGTCCTCAACTGCATAAGTTCTGGTGTGATGTACTTCAGTGGCTTAGTCTGGTCTATAATTTGGACATTGCCCCTGGCGCTCTTTGGGTGCTCAGAGAATGCTCTCAGGTACTCGCCTGAGATACAATAAGCACTAATGCTCGGCATGGTTGCTGCAAAGAAAATGATTCTCCTGGACTGGAAATCCCCCACTCCCCCTTGCTTTCGAAAATGGCTCAACGAAATGACTGGGATTATCCAGATGGAAAGAATACGCTTCCACAACTCTAAAACACAAAACCGCTTTCTGAGCATTTGGGGTCCATTCATTGACTACCTTGAAGACATGTAATCCTTTTCTGTAGAGATGTGCTCTCGACTGTATTGCAACTTGTATTTCTGTAACACCTGGCCATGTAGATAACAGCAATATTACATTCATCGAAGACACACTTTCAATTTTATCTCTGTAGTTCTGTGTTATTCTGTTGTTGTTGTTTTTTTTTTTTTTTTTTCCTTTTCTGTCACTTTGCTTTGTTTACATAAAACCTGAAAAATTTGAAAATAAAATATATAAAAAAGAAGTAGGTGGTATGCAGTGGTAGATTATGCATCAGTGTAAGTGAACCTCAGCAGCTCGAAAAGGTTGGAGGTCGGGTGAAAGACGAGCTGCTCAGCCTGCAGGAAGATCACACTTTAGGTTTTCACACTTCCTGTTAAGACCGATGGTGATGAGCGATGCCTCAGCTGGCGGACAAACACAACATCTGTATTTAGATCAACTGATGATGATGGTGGTGATGATGAAGCCTGAGGGGCGCTGCAGTCAGTCTGACCTTCACACTCACTGTGCTGACCACTTTAATTCTGAAAATCCACACTGATACTTTTTGTTGTGTCGGTCAGAGAGCGAACAGACGGGGGCCCCGGGTAGTGGCCCCTGATCAGACTACAGAGGCTCAGGAGGAACATCTGGGACCTCAGCAGGCCAGATGTTCCTCAGAGATGATGAGATGTTGATATGATGGAAAGACGAAGGAAATAAGATTTGTCCAAAAGTCAGAAAACATTGTTGATCTTTTCGTCTTAAAATCCTAAATAAAGAAATAAAGTTCGGAGCGCTGCTGACTTTACAGTGAGTTACAATAAAGTTCTGTGAGTTCGTTAAAGATAAGGTATTGATTAACTGATTGATACCTTCAAGGACACCTGCTGAGAGTCAGTCAGAAACCAGTATTGATCTCCGATATTGATTATTAAAGGAACAAATAAAGTTGATTAATAGTTAAACTCAGGAAATGGTAGTAAGAGTTGCTCTTATTTTGAAAGGTTGTGATAATGTTGATGCTGATAATTAGACGCAGGAGACAGAGACGGTCCCACTGTCTGGGTCCCATCTGAGGACAGAGACCGTCCTCGGGGACATTCAGGAATGAGGTCTTTAGACTTTCAGACCTCCGACCTGGTTGTAGTGCATCATAGAAGGTGACTGTAAGGCTGCGGAGGTCAGATAGAGCTCTCACTTTCTGACCATTAGCACAACGTACAGTCATGGAGCACCATTAGTGTCTGATTATTATTGACCTTGAATATTTGTTTGGGACAAAAATGTTGTTTTGTTTACATCGCAGGCTTTGTGTGATGGTCTGAGGACTGAGGGGGGTCAGCTGGGTCCACGTCTGACGCTGGAGGTGCTGACAGCTGTGGTCTCCAGATGGAGATCCCTTGGGGACGTTGGCCATGTTGTCTTCTCCCTCACTGAGTCCATCAGAGAGACTTCACTCCACATCCTCCTGTGACTGAGGCCAGCTGCCAGTCACTCTCCCTCCTCCAACCTCCATCTCCCATGATACCTTGCAGGCAGCGAGCTACAGCAGGAGTCACGCTCGCCTGCAGCCTCACTGCTGCTCATTAACAGGATGCATGCTGGGAGTTCAGAGGTTTACTTTCATCAGTATGTTTATTTACAGGATAAACATCATTAAAGCATTAAATCATTAGTTCAGATTTAACTAAAGCCTGTACACGCTGCTGTTTGAGAGTTATTTCCTGTTTTATGTTGAAAGGGTCCTTCCTCCACTTCCTGCCTTTGTCTGTTTTCCCACCCTGATTACTTTCACCTGTTGATCTGAAGGCGGATCCATATCTATATGCAGTTTAATGTACAGAAATAATACATTTATTCATCTGATAAGTTATTCATTTGTTAATGAGGGGGCGTGTCTCAACTATTCAGCTGTTATCAATTCAACTACAGAACAAAACCGTCATTAACATATGGAAGAAAATTAATCAATAAAACAGAAATAAATGAGTTGGTTTTTCTTTCTCTGGGATTGCTGCTCTAAAATGCCTGATTGATCTGATTCCTGATTGATTTGATTCCTGATTGATTTGATTGCTGATTGATCTGATTCCTGATTGATCTGATTCCTGATTGATTTGATTCCTGATTGATTTGATTGCTAATTGATTTGATTCCTGATTAATTTGATTGCTATTAATTTGATTGCTAATTGATTTGATTTTATTTGATTGCTGATTGATTTGATTCCTGATTGATTTGATTCCTGATTGATTTGATTGCTAATTGATTTGATTGCTGATTGATTTGATTGCTGATTGATTTGATTCCTGATTGATTTGATTGCTGATTGATTTGATTGCTGATTGATCTGATTCCTGATTGATTTGATTGCTGATTGATTTGATTCCTGCTTGATTTGATTGCTAATTGATTTGATTGCTGATTGATTTGATTCCTGATTGATTTGATTCCTGATTGATTTGATTGCTGATTGATTTGATTCCTGATTGATTTGATTCCTGATTGATTTGATTGCTGATTGATTTGATTCCTGATTGATTTGATTGCTGATTGATTTGATTCCTGATTTATTCGCTTTAAAAGAAATCTGTATTTATTTAATCATTTAGGTCATTAATTTATGATCCCCACCTGATGCTCCACCCGGTCCCGAGGTAACTGAACACCAACTGCTGACGCTCCCATAAACAAAGCCACTGTTTACAATATATACAACCTGTTAGCAACAGCTAAAGCTAACCACAACTCAACAATCGCAACGATCTGGAACGCTATACTTTTACAAAGTTTAACAAAGTTTATCAAAGATTAATAAAGTTTAACAAAGATTAATTAAGTTTAACAAAGATTAATAAAGTTTAACAAATATTAATAAAGTGTAACAAAGATTAAGAAAGATTAACAAAGATTAATAAAGATTATCAAAGATTAACAAAGATTAATAAAGATTAATAAAGATTAACAAAGATTAACAAAGATTAACAAAGATTATCAAAGATTAATAAAGTTTATCAAAGCTTAATAAAGTTTAACAAAGATTAATAAAGATTATCAAAGATTAATAAAGATTATCAAAGATTAATAAAGTTTAATAAAGTTTAACAAAGTTGATCAAAGTTTAAGAAGTTTAACAAAGTTTAAGAAGTTTAACAAAGTTTATCAAAGTTTAACAGATTAATAAAGTTTAATAAAGATTAATAAAGTTTAACAAAGTTTAACAAAGTTTAATAAAGTTTAACAAAGTTTATCAAAGATTAATAAAGTTTAACAAAGATTAATAAAGATTAACAAAGATTAATAAAGATGATCAAAGTTTAATAAAGTTTAACAAAGATTATCAAAGATTAATAAAGTTTAACAAAGATTATCAAAGTTTAATAAAGTTTAACAAAGATTGTCAAAGATTAATAAAGTTTAACAAAGATTAATAAAGATTAACAAAGATTAATAAAGATTAACAAAGATTAATAAAGTTTAACAAAGTTTAAGCAAAGTTTAGCAAAGTTTAAGAAGTTTAACAAAGTTTATCAAAGTTTAACAGATTAATAAAGTTTAATAAAGTTTAATAAAGATTAATAAAGTTTAACAAAGATTAATAAAGTTTAACAAAGATGAATAAAGATGAATAAAGATTAATAAAGTTTAACAAAGATTAATAAAGATTAATAAAGTTTAACAAAGATTAACAAAGATTAATAAAGATTAACAAAGATTAATAAAGTTTAACAAAGATTAATAAAGATTAACAAAGTTTAACAAAGTTTAACAAAGTTTAATAAAGAGGAACAAAGTTTAATAAAGATTAAGACGGACTGAGAAATTTCAACAAAGTACAATGTGTACTTTGTCCAGTGTGTATATATATAGTATATAGGAGTTCAATATTGAAGCAGTACAGTGTATTTTTACAGTGTATTTGTAGTACATATTGTAGTACAGTGTATTGTTTACAGTGTTTACTGTTTACAGTGTATTGCTGTACAGTGTACTGTTGTACAGTGTGTATTGTTTACAGTGTATTGTTTACAGTATATTTGACCAGCGGACTTTTTACAGTGCTCTCGGTATTTAAAGCGCAGCGCGCGCAGAGCGGAGCGTCATTGGTGCTGCACGCGGAGGCGCAGAAAGTTCTGCTGTGAGTTGAAACCGGATCTTTAACGGAGGATGATTGACTGATTATTGATTGAATATTGATCTAACGGAGGAGGATTATTGGATTATTGATACTCTGATTGACTGATTGATATCGATCGGCGCGGTGCGGTTCGGTGCCGCTCCGGCGGAGGATGGAGCAGACAGCCGCGGTCGGACTGAGCGGCGACGCGTCGCTGCAGGACTCTTCTCCTCTGGGAGTCTGACCCTCTTCGGTATGTTGCCTCCCTCGAGCTTCTGCTCATTTTGACTTCTTCTATCGCCCCTCGCGCCCCTCGCGCCCCGTGCGCCCCGTGCGCACCACCTTGCGCCGTCATGTTCTCCGAGCTGAGCGACGCGAACCGGACGTCCAACCTGAGCGCGCCGCTGTCTCTGGAGCAGGACTGGAGCGACGCGCCGCACGAGCGGCTGTCACGCGGCGGACACCGCGTGGTGTCGGTGTTTCTGGGCTCCATTATGGTGTTCGGGTTCCTCAACAACCTGCTGGTTCTGGTCCTGTTCTGCCGCTTCAAGACCCTGCGGACCCCCGTCAACTTGCTTCTGCTCAACATCAGCGTCAGCGACATGCTCGTTTGCGCATGCGGCACCACGCTCAGCTTCGCGTCCAGCCTGCGCATGCGCTGGTTGTACGGCCGCCGCGGCTGTCTGTGGTACGGTTTCATCAACTCCTGCCTGGGTGAGTAATATATATATATTTATATACATATATACATATATACATATATATATACTGTCTGTGGTACAGTTTCATTAACTCCTGCCTGGGTGAAGGTGTGTACTAATACTGGATATGAATACTGTATATAAATATATATAAATACTGTAATACTACATCAGTAATATCAGTACTGATCAATATTACTGTTGCAGCCTTAATATATATCACTGCTAAGAGTTTACCTGACTGAAAATCTCAACGCTGTGAAAAATGTCAATTTTATTCAGTTAAAATACTTTTCTACTTTTATTTAAATGTTTAATAAATTATTCATGAATATATATTATTATTAATTATTATTATTATTATTATTATTTGACCTTATCTTTAACTAATAATAATAATAATAATAATAATTACTGTTAATAACATTATCTTTAACTAATAATTCAATTCAATTCAATTCAATTTTATTTGCATAGCGCCAATTCATAACAGAAGTTATCTCAGGACACTTTTCAAATAGAGCAGGTCTAGACCGAACTCTTTAACATTAATTACAGAGACCCAACAGTACCACCATGAGCAAGACCTTGGAGACAAGGGCAAGGAAAAACTGCCTGTTAAAAGGCAGAAACCTAGGACAGATCCTCCGGCTCTAGGTGGGTGGTCGTCTGTCTCGACCAGTTGGGGTGAAAGAGAGAGAGAGAGACAGAGAGAGAGAGAGACAGACAGACAGACAGACAGGTGCACAGCAACAACAGTAGCAACAACTACACTAATAGTAGTGACTGATGATGATGAACATGACAACAGCAACGATGGGGGACAATGAGCAGTGACAACAGCAACAACATAATAATGATAATAATAATAATAATTACTGTTAATAACATAGTTTTAAACTAATAATAATAATAATAATAATTACTGTTAATAACATAATTTTAAACTAATAATAATAATAATAACTACTGTTAATAACATTATCTTTAACTAATAATAATAATAATAATAATAATTAGTGTTAATAACATTATTTTTAACTAATAATAATTATTACTTATTAGAGAGAAAATTAATCACCAACTGCCATCAACAGTTATCAGTTGCTCTCCAAGTTCAGGAACTTTAACTAATGTTGTTATACTGTTTTTCTGCTATCGATCTTCATCAGTTAACTTCAATAATTTCTTCATTGAAGCCATCAACCTGTCTGTTAGACCCGATCCCAACTAGGCTGCTTAAAGAAGTTGTTCCCTTAATTGGCACTTCTTTACTGGATATGATTAATCTTTCTTTATTATCAGGATATGTACCACAGTCCTTTAAAGTAGCTGTAATTAAACCCCTTCTTAAAAAGTCCACTCTTGACCCAGGGGTTTTAGCCAACTATAGACCGATTTCTAACCTCCCCTTCCTCTCTAAGATTCTGGAGAAAGTAGTCGCCAAAGAGTTGTGTGACTTTTTACATAACAATAGTTTATTTGAGGATTTTCAGTCAGGATTTAGAGTTCATCATAGCAAAGAGACAGCTCTGGTTAAAGTTAATAATGACCTTCTGACTGCTTCTGACAATGGACTTGTCTCTGTACTTGTATTATTAGATCTTAGTGCTGCATTTGACACCATTGACCATGATATTCTTTTACAGAGACTTGAGCATCAAATTGGCATTAAAGGAACCGCACTAAGCTGGTATAAGTCATATTTATCAGATCGCTCACAGTTTGTACATGTCAACGATGAATCTTCAATAAATACTACAGTTAGTCATGGAGTTCTACAAGGTTCTGTACTTGGACCAATATTATTTACTTTATAAATGCTCCCTTTAGGCAATATTATTAGGAATCACTCCATTAACTTTTTACTGTTATGCAGATGATACGCAGTTATATCTATCGATCAAGCCCGATGAAATTAATCAATTATCTAAATTACAAACATGTCTTAAGGACATAAAATCCCGGATGACCTGCAATTTTCAGATGTTAAACTCAGAAAAAAACGAAATTCTTGTACTTGGCCCCAAAAACCTTAGAGACTCACTGTCTAAAGATATAGTCACTCTAGATGGCATTAACTTGGCCTCTAGCACCACTGTCAGGAATCTTGGAGTTATCTTTGATCAGGATTTGTCATTTAACTCCCACATAAAGCAGACCTCTAGGACTGCCTTCTTTCATTTACGTAATATTAGAAAAATTAGACACATCCTATCACAGACAGATGCAGAAAAACTAATCCATGCATTTGTTACTTCAAGGCTGGATTACTGCAACTCTTTATTATCAGGTTGCCCCAATAAGTCCATTAAAACGCTCCAATTAATTCAGAACGCTGCAGCACGAGTACTTACAGGAACTAGAAAAAGAGATCACATCTCTCCTGTACTAGCTTCTCTGCATTGGATCCCTATAAAATGTAGAATTGAATTTAAAATCCTCCTCCTCACCTATAAAGCTCTTCATGGTCAGGCCCCTTCATATCTTAAAGAGCTCATAGTACCCTATTACCCCACTAGAACACTACGTTCTCTGAATGCTGGGCTACTTGTGGTTCCTATAGTCTCTAAAAGTAGAACAGGAGCCAGAGCCTTCAGTTACCAAGCTCCTCTCCTGTGGAACCAGCTTCCAGTTGTGGTTTGGGAGGCAGACACCCTCACCACATTCAAGAGTAGGCTTAAGACATTCCTCTTTGATAAAGCTTATAGTTAGGGCTGGATCAGGTGAGTCTTGAACCATCCCTTAGTTATGCTGCTATAGGCCTGGACTATCGGGGGATTTCCCATGATGCACTGAGCTCCTCTCTTCCTCTCTCTTTCTGCACTCATTCTTGTCCCATTAATGCATGTTACTAACTTCACTTCTTCCCTGGAGTTTTTGTGCTTTCTCGTCTCGCAGGTTCTTATCGATCCTGGTGGAGCCTCCTGCCATGGTCCTGCTTGACTGCCATTGATAATATCACTGATATTATTGTTATTATTGTTATCATTATTATTATTATTACTACAGTTACTATTGTTGCTGTTGTCACTGCTCATTGTCCCCCATCGTTGTTGTTGTTGTCGTCATCATCTTCTTCACGTTCATCATCATCAGTCACTACTATTAGTCTAGTTGTTGCTACTGTTGTTGTTGTGTACCTGTCTGTCTGTCTGTCTGTCTGTCTGTCTGTCTGTCTGTCACCCCAACTGGTCGAGGCAGACAACCACCCACCTAGAGACGAGGGGTCTGTCCTAGGTTTCTGCCTCTTAACAGGCAGTTTTTCTAGACCTGCTCTATTTGAAAAGTGTCCTGAGATAACTTCTGTTATGTATTGGCACTATACAAATAAAATTGAACTGAATTGAAAATTGAATTGAATTGAATAATAATTACTGTTAATAACATTATCTTTAACTAATAATAATAATTACTGTTAATAACATTATTTTTAATAATGGATTCAAACTGGTGATCAGAGCTCTGAGCTACAGAACATTTTATATTCATTTATTGATCAGTTGATCAGAAAAAAGCTGAATATTGGAGCCGATAAACAATCAATTACTGATATTAACCCTTTAGAAGATGTCAGCACATTATTGAAATTATCTATAAATACAGGTAACACTTCTATAGTACAAATAATCAGGCTTACATTTATTATTATTATTATTATTATTATTATTATTAGCAGTAATATTCAGTTTATTAGCTCTCATTAAATCACTCACAAACTGTGGAAAAACTAAATATTGGTTACAAGAACAAAATTCCCTCAAATTTAAAGAATAATATATTTTATGTATACATTTTTATATATTATACTGTAAACATAAATAATGATAAAGACATTTTAAAATGAATTAAATTAGACTTCTGTTTTCCCTCTGATGTCCTCTGTACACTGAGGTCAGAGTGAGACCTCCCTCGCCTCCCTTTGAGCTGCTGGGTCACATGATTCATGTGTTTGATAAACAGGCTGAATGGAAGAAGAGATAAGCTCCAACGGCTCCGACTGATAACTACTGTTTCTATAAACATGACCCCCAGAGGCCCCCAGAGGCCCCCACAGACCCCCACAGACCCCACCATGGGATCCCACCAGCCTCCAACCAAACTCTGTTCTCTTCTTCTCCAACTTGTTGCTGGAATATATTTCTACTTTTTATTGTTTGCTTCCTTTGGTTTGAAATGTAAAGTTCTGGTCTGACTTACAAGCTGACATGTCAGCTAACTAATGTTAGCTTTCGAGCTGACAAACATTAGCTGGTTGTGGTGTTTGTGGATTACTGGAGAAGTGACTTAGGAACATTTTGAATTGGTCAGTTAAAATAAGCTAGCTTGCTAGCTGCTAGCTGTTCTCCCAGATTCCACGCTAGGCTAAACACCAATGAACAGCTTGATGTTTATGCTGTTTGTAAGCAGACAGATATAAACAAGCTATAAACAAAACAAAATATAGATTATGCTAGTTGTTTTGTGGCTATACTGTCAATTCCCCCAATTCCTCTCTTTGTGCTAAGCTAGGCTAAGATGCTCTGGTATAACCCTGCTGAAAATACCAGCAGATTTAGCTCAATAACACTGGATATGCTAGTTGCCTGTTAGCTAATAGGGCAACCAGGTAATACTGGATATGCTAACTGTTTATAGCTACCATAATTAGCCTCCAATCGTTGTGCTAATTTGTTTGTGATAAGCTAGGCTAAAGATGAGTCTTCACTGACGGGATGTTGAACTTTAATTCTCTGAATCTTTGAGCCCTGATTCCTCAGAGCTGCTGAAGCAGATCAGACCCACATGGGGGGCGGTTCAGGACTGAAGTAGCTCAGTGATGGTGGACTTGGAGAGATCTGGGTCAGAAGTGATCAGTCTGCTGGAAAACTGACAAAACAGGATTTAAAGTTCCCAGAGGAAGCCAATGATTTACTGCAGTACTCAAGTATTTATACTCTAAAGAACCATCAGGGTTCTACGATCAGACCTGGTACTGCAGTACTCTGTATCTGTTTATGGTCTGAACTTCCTGTTTATGGTTTGAACTTCCTGTTTTATAACCTGAACTTCCTGTTTATGGTCTGAACTTCCTGTTTTATAACCTGAACTTCCTGTTTATGGTCTGAACTTCCTGTTTTATAACCTGAACTTCCTGTTTATGGTTTGAACTTCCTGTTTTATAATCTGAACTTCCTGTTTATGGTTTAAACTTCCTGCTTTATAATCTGAACTTCCTGTTTATGGTCTGAACTTCCTGTTTATGGTTTGAACTTCCTGTTTTATAACCTGAACTTCCTGTTTATGGTTTAAACTTCCTGCTTTATAATCTGAACTTCCTGTTTATGGTCTGAACTTCCGGTTTATGGTCTGAACTTCCTGTTTATGGTTTGAACTTCCTGCTTTATAATCTGAACTTCCTGTTTGTTTTACCTTCTGTCCTGCGGTCTCCTTTAGGGATCGTGTCTCTGATCTCTCTGGCGGTCCTGTCCTACGACCGGTACAGCACCCTGATGGTGTACAACAAGCGGGCCCCGGACTACAGGAAGCCCCTGCTGGCGGTGGGCGGGTCTTGGCTGTACTCTGTGGCGTGGACCGTGCCCCCCCTGCTAGGCTGGAGCAGTTATGGTCTGGAGGGGGCCGGGACCAGCTGCTCCGTTGCTTGGACCCAGAAGTCTTCGAGCTCTCAGTCGTACATCATCTGCCTGTTCGTGTTCTGTCTCGGCCTCCCCGTCCTCGTCATGGTCTACTGCTACAGCCGCCTGCTGCACGCTGTCAAACAGGTGGGACAGAGCGCAATGCATGATGGGTATATGCTAACGTAGCCTACAATCCAATTGATTGTATTGATTGTTATTGATAATGATCAAACGTTAATAGGTGCTTTATAACGGCTCTGAAGGTTTAACCCTGCGTTTTGTCTGACAGGTGGGGCGTATCCGGCTGATGGCAGCCCGTCGCAGAGAGTTTCACATCCTGTTCATGGTCGTCACCACGGTGGTGTGCTACCTGCTCTGCTGGATGCCGTACGGCGTCGTCGCCATGATGGCCACCTTCGGCCAGCCGGGAGTCATCAGCCCCGTCGCCAGCGTCGTCCCGTCACTCCTCGCCAAGAGCAGCACCGTCATTAACCCCATCATCTACATCCTCATGAACAAACAGGTGAGGATTTCGTCACTTCTCATCACGTGACTGGAAAAACAAACAGCAACTCTTCTTTAGTGGACAAATAAACACATTATTGTTGTTATTGTTGTTATTGCTGAGACGTTTATGGCGTCTCGGTCTGACAGCATTCCCAGGCTGGACCATCGTTGTTCTGACACATTTTGGCAGCATTTCAAACCTTTTGTTAGTCGCAGACTGATTCGGGCGCCTCAGGGCCTCCATAGCTCCTTCCTGTCATTTCCACTTAAACTCAATACAGCAGTGGCGAGAAGACAGTGAACGCACCTTCTCATTATTAAACACTCTACGGAAGTTTGATACTGCCACAACAAAAATGTATGAGACTAAATCTGCCACTATAATTAATTAAATACTTCAAACTGTTAGTAATAAACAGAGCTCTCATTAATATAAACTCAAATAAATAATAATTATATATGAAAACTATAATTAATTTCTAATGACAGCTTCAGCTCCCATATTTTGGTAAACTGTGTCTAAATTTCATTCTATAACCTCGTTGATGACAATAAAATATCTTATAACTAAACTCTGATCATAATTGATTCATTAATGAGTTTATTGGATCAATAAAACAAAACGTACAAAATGTAATTATTATTCTATTAATATATAATATTAAAAAACAAACAGTAATAAGTAAACAATGGGTGATTTGATCAGATATTTGATCCTTTTACAGTGAAGTGATATATTTTACATTAATAATCATATTGAATTGTGTCAGAGACAAATCAATATCATCAATAGTTATTATCAGTTATTAATGGAGGAATGAGTCAGAAATATACAATCAGCTGGAAACTCTAATGTCCCAGCAGCTCCTGAAGGCCAAAAGAAAAACTTTAAATGACCGGATGGGACCCAGTTCTGGGACCCGGTTCTGGGACCTGGTTCTGGGACCCGGGTTGGTCTCAGACCTGGGTCAGGGCCTACAGCGGACTGTGCTGAACCCCCTCAGCGTGATCCGGCCCTTGGTCCGGAGCTGGTCTGGGGGGCCACGGTTGATCCTCTGGACCAGCAGCTTCTCGTAGAGGAGGGGGTGGTAGGCGCCCAGTGTGCAGGCGTCGTCACGGTAACGCTCGTAGTAATGACAGCGCTCGCTGCGGCGGACTGACGGCACAAACTCGTACACACTGACTTCATCACACAGTGACATCATCAGCACGATACCTGAGAGACACAGTGGCGAGTGACGTCATGGTGATGTCACACGGCGGTGAGTTAATCAAATAAACAAACAAACAACAAAAACAATAAACAAACATTATTCAGGACGAAAGCTTCCGGTTCATTTAAATGATTTCCTGTATCAATAAATATGTAATAATACCAAAGATTATTGATTATCAGTGTTAAAAGTATTGATTATGTGTTCCTCAGTTCTACCGCTGCTTCCTGATCCTGTTCCGCTGTAAAGACCAGCCGACTGAGACCGGACCCTGCTCCATACCATCAAAGACCACCATGGTCCAGCTCAACCGTAGACCTGGACCCACCGGCTCCAGGACTCTCTCCGGACCAGCAGCGCCCGACATGGAGCGAACCAGCGCCGCCGTGTCCGACAGGACCGACGAGCCTCTGGAGACGTCCTCCTGAGACCTTGTCTTATTGATTACCTCCTGCTGGGACTCACGGCCCCGCCCCCAACAGTGTCATGTGCCACCTTGGCTCCGCCTCCTGGAAGCGGGTCAGTGTGTGTTATGTCATCCCAGGTGTGACCTAGTGTGTCTGTGATGGTTTGAGCTGACTGCAGGTATGGAGGTCAAAGTGTGTGAAAACATTTACACACAAAGAAAAACAATCTGTGTTCATTTGTGTGTAAATGTTATTGTTTGTATTTTATATTACATTACGTTATTTACACAAGAGAATTATAAACATAAACATTTATTACATTACATTCTGTGAAGTCAAAGCTAACATTAGCTAACATTAACTGACATTAGCTTACATTAGCTAACGTGTGTATTGTGGACCCATTAGCAGACTGAATGCAGCATCTGATGCTAACAGCGGCGGTTTTATTGCTAACTAGCTAACGGCGGTTACATTAGCGGCTAGCAGAGTTGAGGAAGAGTCTGTGATCTTAAAAGGGTTCCATTGATGAAGATTAGTTGATCAGAACCAAACAATCTGTGGAACCACTTCATTATAATGCTGACACTAGCTGTCACATTAGGACTAATCAATAATCATTATTTCTGACTTCAGTCCTACATTGTACATGACTATTAATGATCAATAATGTATTTAACGATAATGTTCAACTCTTTAAAATAATTCATGTTTGATTGATCGCACATTGTGTTACAGTCTGATCAATAATCGATCTAATTAGTTTTCTATGGTCTCTGTGGATGGAAACAAATAAAGTTCAGTGAACTCGTCGATGCTTCTGTTTGATTCTTTTAAAATCAATAAACACATTTTTAATTTCAATTTTCATTTGTAATAAAGCTTCTAATTGATTCATGTTGGACAGGAAGTATTATCAATAACTGTATTAGTAATAATACCAGTATCAATAAGAGTATCGATAACTGTATTAGTAATAATTACAGCATCAATAAGAGTATCAATAATTGTATTAGTAATAAAAACAGCATCAATAAGAGTATCAATAATTGTATTAGTAATAATAACCGTATTTATAAGTTACTGTAGTAGGAACTGTAGTAGTTACTGTATTAGTTACAGTATTAGTAACTGTATTAGTAACTGTAGTAGTAACTGTATTAGTAACTCTATTAGTAACTGTAGTAGTAGGGTTAGGGTTAGTAGTAACTGTATTAGTAGTAGTGCAGCTGTACCTGTGAACCCTGATGAAGGGGGGTTAGGTTGGATCTGGTCCTCTGTGTTGTCCTGGATCAGGTCCCACAGACTCCAAATGAACTCTGGATGGAGGATGTAAAACGGCTGCTCGGGTCGGAGGCGACGGCGTTCCATGTATGGCGAGAACAGATCGAAGTCCGGCTTCTGGAACCACTGGAGAGACACGATCAAAAAAGGAAATAATCAACAGAAAGGTCACGAGGTGAAGAGCAGCTGGTGTGGATTCAGCCAATCAGACCTGGGTCAGGTTGGAGGAGTACGGAGCCGGATCCCAGACCAGCAGAGTGCAGTTCTCATACAGGGAGCTGGTCCTGAACTGGTGTCTGGACTGAGACACAATCTGATGGACCAGAGAGACAGACAGGCACAGAGAGAGACAGGGAGACAGAGAGAGAGACAGAGACAGAGACAGAGAGAGAAACAGGGAGAGAGAGACAGACAGACAGAGAGAGACAGGGAGAGAGAGAGACAGACAGAGACAATCAGTAAACACAACCATTAATGACGTCATTGATCAATATTAGTTAATCAATAATTACTGATCACACAGGGAGCACCGGGTAAACAAATGCCGTCAGTGAGGGCAGTGGGTGGGGCCGATGAGGTCAGGGGCAAGGTCAGTGAGGGCAGTGGGAGGGGTCCGTGAGGTCAGGGGCGGAGTCAGTAAGGACAGTGGGCGGGGTCAGTGAGGGTAGGGGGTGGGGTCAGTACCTGGGAGTTGATGATGCGGATGGTGGTCTTGGTCCCGACGTCTCTCTCAAAGCCTTTGGTTGGAGCGGCGTTGAAACGAAGAACTGCATCATGGGAATCTGAGTCAAACAGGTTAAAGACATCAGCAGGTTAACGGCCTCACCTGACAGGTAATAGTGCAGCTAGTAGCGCATGCAGTACTACATAAATAATGTAAAATATATATATTATATATTATATATATTATTTATTATATAATATATGTAATTCAATTCAATTAAATTTTATTTGTATAGCGCCAATTCATAACAGAAGTTATCTCAGGACACTTTTCAAATAGAGCAGGTCTAGACCGAACTCTTTATAACATTATTTACAGAGACCCAACAGTACCACCATGAGCAAGACCTTGGATACAAGGGCAAGGAAACACTGCCTGTTAAAAGGCAGAAACCTAGGACAGATCCTTCGGCTCTAGGTGGGTAGTAGAGAGAGAGAGAGAGGGAGAGAGAGAGAGAGAGACAAAGAGAGAGACACAGACAGACAGACAGACAGACAGACAGACGCACAGCAACAACAGTAGCAACAACTACACTAATAGTAGTGACTGATGATGATGATGAACATGACAACAGCAACGATTTGGGACAATGAGCAGTGACAACAGCAACAACACTAACCGTAGCAATAATAATACTTATAATAATAACACTAATATCAGTGATATTGGCAAGTGCAGTCAAGCAGGAACATGGCAGGAGGCTCCACCAGGATAGATAAGAACCTACGAGACGAGAAAGCACAAGAACTCCGGGGAAGAAGTGAAGTTAGTAACATGCATTAAAGGGACATGAATGAGTGCAGAAAGAGAGAGGAAGAGAGGAGCTCAGTGCACCATGGGAAATCCCCCGATAGTCTAGGCCTATAGCAGCATAACTAAGGGATGGTTCAGGACTCACCTGATCCAGCCCTAACTATAAGCTTTATCAAAGAGGAATGTCTTAAGCCTACTCTTGAATGTGGTGAGGGTGTCTGCCTCCAGAACCATAACTAGAAGCTGGTTCCACAGGAGAGGAGCTTGGTAACTGAAGGCTCTGGCTCCTGTTCTACTTTTAGAGACTATAGGAACCACAAGTAGCCCAGCATTCAGAGAACGCAGTGTTCTAGTGGGGTAATAGGGTGCTATGAGCTCTTTAATTCAGGTGGACTGGATGAAGTAGACCAGGTTCTGGAGGAGACCTTGCTGATGCTGTTTACCTGTTGCCTCCTGACTCAGCTCATACATGTGACTCATCAGCTCCTGTTTGGTTACGCAGACTACAACCCTCCAGAATCCCTGACCCGTAAGATCTGATGCAGTTTGAAGGTAACGGGCAGTAACTCTGAAATATTAATTTAGTAAAATAAAAAAAAAGATTTTTTCAAAGCATTCTGACTTTCAGCATTGTGGACTCACCAATCTCGGTCCCCAGCGAGGACCGGAGGACGGCACCAGCAGATGCCACCACTGCGCAGCGCCGGTACTGAGACATCCTGAGCTCCTGCAGGGGCAGTGAAGGCACCAGCCGGGCCCAGCCCAAACCAGAGAAAGGCTCCTCGGTCCCATCCAGGGTTTGGATCCTGGTCCTCCTCTTCAGCTCGCAGTACAGCTGCAGACTGGACCTGCGGCCCTCCCTCGGACCCCGGTACGTCACCTGGTGCCTGTTGGAGTTCAGCTGGACCTTCAGGACCTTCTGGAGACGAGGGCTCAGCATCCCCACTGTTAGGGTCCCGGTCCACAGCCTCTGCAGGATCTCCAAAGACCTGGACCTGTAGTAGTCCTTAGACCTGGACCTGTAGTTGGTCCTCTTCCTCCTCCAGTCCGTCTCTGAGACCCCAGCAACCCCTCTCGGGGGCCCCTGGTGAACAGAGGCCAGGCGACGGGTTTCAGTCCTGGTGAGTCCAGACTGTAGGGCAGACCTGGACCGAGGCAGCTGGGTGGATCTGAGGTCCAGGAAGTGACAGAGCAGGGACAGGAAGAGGAGGAGCCAGACCAGCAGGATCACCAGCAGCCACTTCCTGTATGGCTTCATCCTGGGTCAGATGGGGGGGGGGTGTTTGATTGATTGATTGATTAAGGAGCTCCTCAACCCTAAGACTTGTTTATTGATTAGAATAAGAAGATATCCGCTATGTGGCGTTCAAGTGCAACTGCGTATGTTTCCGATGTTCACACGTAACGTATTAACGTCGACCCAGTGCAGCAAACTTTTATGTTGTTAATTTTCCTTTTTTAATGAACTTAAATGAATAAAAAACAAACATTCAGGGTTAGACAACGGCTTTAACTCTTTAATGTTTAAATTATCTAAAAGTTTTTAATTTGATGTTTGTTTATTATTTTAGTATAAAAGATGTAAAAGGAGAGCAACCTTTGAAGCTTCATCATTTTATTAATATCATATTTTAGAAGTTATATCAGTGGCACCTTTCACATGTTCAAACCACAACAAATACACAATCAATACCTTCGATTATCTGTCAGTCAGAAACACTTTATTGATCTCTGTGGCCAATAAATAAACTCTAATTACAAATTTGTATCCACTGTTGCAGCTGGTACACCGACTGATGCTAACCTGCATGTGTTGGACAGTTAGCATCACTAGCATCATTAGCATCATTAGCTTTAATAATCAGCTTTATAAACGATATCTCAGCAGCTGATTGGCTGATTGGGACAATAACGGAGGTTTTGGGTTATTGAGGACGCTGAATCCATTTCGGACATTTTAAAATACAAAATGGCCATTTAAACAGGAAGTGGAAATATTTCATTTGATTGTGATTGATTCTGAGGTTATTGATATGATTGATTATAATTATTAGAAAACATTTACTGCCTACAGACTACAGCTCTCTGCAGGGAACTGTTTTCATTCTTTAACTCAGTTTTTATTTTGTTTATGACCAGCTGTTGTTGTTATTGTTGTTATTGTCACAAACAGGAAATGAAGTCATTATCAATCAATCTGCTGTTCCTGTTATTGTGTCCACCCCCCGAAGACTAACGAGCTTCACTTCATTAACAGTCAGAGTTCATCAGTCAGGTGACCATGGCAACAGCGACAACAACAACAAGTTCAACCTGTAATAATTCTTATTATTGATACGTCATTATAACTGATCAGAAACTGATCAATTATCCTCTCACAGTAGCTCATTAAACCGAGTGACAGTGAGTCCCAGTAAAAAGATAAAAATATAAAAGTATTTAAAATAAAATTAGATAAATCATAAAAATATAGAAAATATGATAATTAAACAAATGAGTTTTTCTTTTTTAAATAATAAAGATAAGAAAGTTACAGATGGCCGTTACCTGTCTCAGGTGTGAGGACGAGTCTGTTGGTCTTCATCAGATGTTCCTTCTGTTTCCTCCCAGAATCCTCTGCTTCCTTTTCCACAGCGAGCCGGGAGCGTCCCAGTACGACCAGTTTACTGCCGTACTGGTGGACTTCCTTTTATTCTGTGCTGGGGGGTCTGCTGCGCTCCGATTGGCTGCCCTTTGTCCCAGTCTCTCCCGCAGTGACTGTTACCATGACAACCACAGCAACAGTGCTGCATTCAGGTCACACCGAAAATATGAGGCTCACGACAGAAGCTGTTCAGCCTCTGAGAGACCCAGTGAGGGGTTAACTGGACCTGGTCCCAGACAGACTCCTGGGAAACAGACCCAGACCTGACGAGCATACACAGGGACCCTGAACAGAGCCTGAAAAGACCCTAAACAGACCTGCATTAGACCCTGAACAGACCCTCGACAGACCCGGATCAGACCTGCATTAGACCCTGAACAGAGCCTGAACAGACCTGGATCAAACCCTGATCAGACCTGCATTAGACCCTGAACAGACCTGCATCAGACTCTGATCAGACCTGCATTAGACCCTGAGCAGACCTGCATTAGACCCTGAACAGACCTGGATCAGACCCTGATTAGACCTGTATTAGACCCTGAACAGACCTGGATCAGACCCTGATTAGACCTGTATTAGACCCTGAACAGACCTGGATCAGACCCTGATCAGACCTGCATTAGACCCTGAACAGACCCTCTACAGACCCTGAACAGACCTGGATCAGACCCGCATTAGACCCTGAACAGACCTGGATCAGACCCTGATTAGACCTGCATTAGACCCTGAACAGAACTGGATCAGACCCTGATCTGACCTGCATTAGACCCTGAACAGACCCTCTACAGACCTGGATCAGACCCTGAGTTGTGTTGATTCTACTGTTGATTTTTAAAAGGTTTAATTGATAAATTATTGTTGTTTTAATATTTAAGGATTTATTTCATTGGGAAACTTTCTTCTTCAAACATTGTTTGTTTGCTAATTAGCTGGTTACTTCTGAGCGTGCTCAGTGCGGTTGTTGGACGTGCTGATCAGATATTGTGATCAATATTCACACAGACAGTCAAACTGAGATATTGATGAATTTATTACAGTCGTCACTGATAAAAAAAAAACCCACTGAGCCGCTACATGATATATATTGATCCCACATCCTAATCAATAGGACAGATACATTACAGTCATCCACCAATCAGAGCAAAGTTCACCTCAAACAACTCAGCCGAAGAAATCTTCTTTCCATCATGCCGACGTCCCGTTACCATGCCGACATTGGTCCAGTTCCCGCCACCTGAATATGAAGAAGTTGGCGATATTGCCGCTGTTGTTGGCAGAGCTCACATTCTTACATTCATGAATGACGGTGTTATTGCGATACATTACTGATAAATACATGAAGAGTTTGACTTCAGAACTTTTACAGCAACAAGAAAAGAATCAGCAGCGTTTAACTGGCGACAGGAAGACGTCCAACTGTCCACTTCACTGTTTCCCCTTCATGAGTCCGAATTGATCAATTGATAATAACCAATCACAGGGATCAATATGTCGCTCTGGAACCAAACTCTTCATTCATTCACTCAATTTACAGACATGAATATCAGACATTTACAAGCTGGTGATTGTACATCCCGAGAGCCATGAAAGAAAATAACATGAGTCAGGTGAGTCTCCACCTGTTCTGTACATACATGGACACACATGGCCACGCCCCCTTCAGTTACCTGAACACCCTCATGGGAACATGGTGGGCAGGGCTGTTTGTTCTGGTCTAATAAACTGATCTACAGTCAGTGCCTCAACCTCCAGCCCCACCGAACCTAACACCGAACCAAACACCGAACCCAACACCGAAAGTGCTTTACACAAGAAACATAAAATAAAACCAGGAGAACCAAAAGAAAGTTTAAAATTGCTGCCGGTCCGACCCCGTTTGATCCAGTCTGACCCCCTTTGATCCAGTCTAACCCCCTTTGATCCAATCCGAGCCTCTTTGATCCGATCCGACCCCCTTTGATCCAGTCCAACCCCCCTTTGATCCAGTCCAACCCCCCTTTGATCCAGTCCGACCCCCCTTTGATCCGATCCGAACTCTCTGCTGTAGTGGATCTTTGAGGGAACGGCGCCACCGAGTGGCGGAGGAGAGGTAGTGCCACACGTCAGCAGATGGAGCAGCTCAATGTTGATGAGGCAGATGTAGTGTTTTTTTTAACACAGCTGGAGGGCCAGATGGGTGGAGTTTACCACACCAGGAAGATATACTATACAGAGTCACATACACATTGTATATTGTTATATTGATATATTTCATCCCGACCCTGAGACCAATATCTCGTTATTGATAACGGAGCAGTTAGAAAATGGGTGGTTTCATATCTTTCAGGTTTTGCTGCTGTTCATGGGAACAAACTAATAATTAACCAGTTGCTCGATAATTAACATAAAATCAACCAATCACTAATTCCTGTGCATCGTGAGTCGTACGTCACCAAACTCACCTCACTGATTCTTGTTATGACGATGCAAACGTTCCATTTAATTTTCACTGGCACAAGTTGCATTTCATTCTAAATTAATTCTTTCAATTTATTGTATATTTTATATATTTTAAATATTTTCACACGTTTTTTTGAAAAGACGCAAGAATCCCACAAAAAGCAGGACAATCCTGGAGGGAAATTCAAAGGTTTGAACACAAAAACTATAGAAATCGACACACTGACGAGTTGTTTGTTCTGTGAATGCAGATTTTTCTCTAAACCAAAAAGATTTTCAGAAAATGTGTTGAGAAGAAGTTTTCAGACTCAGTAAAGGGCAGAAGGAGTGTGTGATAAACTCCACCCATGCAGACGTCAGCTGTGTTCATGGCGCCGGGATCATAGAGCTACAGGTGTGGAACCGTGTGCATGATTGATCGATTGACTGATTGATTGATGGATCGTTCACACATCGCTCTCCATCTCCTCAGATGCCATGCTTTTGGTTTGTTTTCAGATCAGTCACCCCCGTCCGGTGCTGCATGCAGAGTAAAAACAAGCGCTGATTGTCACGATGAAAACACAAACAGTTCACTGAAGTATGTGGAGCGTCACTGCTGGGCCAGCAGGGCGTTCCGGTTGGCCTTCATCTTCTCCAGGCGTTTGGACAGGTGGCTGTTACTGGCCTCCAGCTCGTCGATCCGGTCCAGAGCTGAGCGGAGCTGCAGGGAGACAGAAAGTGTACTTTAACATCCACAAAGACCAAAAGGACGGACAATAACCAACAGTTAATAAAATGACAAAAAACTAAAATATTTGGTTCTTTTTTGTTCCCTGAGAAACTATTAGAATTATTTTTAGTGGCTATAAGTCCCACATGTCCCCTAAGGGAAAACACTCCATGACAATAAAAAATAATTCATAATGAGTGACCACAGAGAGATAAAAACAATCAAACATCAGCTCCACAGATGCTCACGGTCTCACCTCTCTCTGGAGTTTTCTCTTCTCCACTTTCAGCTCGTCTTCGACCTTCTCAGCATTTTCTGACGCTGACTTGTATCGAGTCACCTGACCTTCCAGTCGGATCACCTGAGTATGAAAGATGGAGGACAGCTAGACGTACTGTCTGTATTCCCAAAAGCTTTGACGTTTGGAGTATGTGTTATAATTTCTCTACACTATTATCATAAAGCTCATAATAAAAATGACTGAAAAGGTATTTGAGCTGTTCTTCAGGAGGATCATATAAAAAAAAGTTGTGAGAGTTCAAAAGAGCTTTGTCTCACTTTCTCTACAAATCTGAAACTCTCAAACATCACAAACAGAAATAGAGAGCGTTGGGCGGGACCTCGCACTCCACGCAACTTGGGGCGTGCTGCCACAACATGAACATTTCACGTAAATCAGATTAAAATTGCCACGCAGCGCTTACTTCCTGTTGGCTGTAGGTGGTCCTCTCACTATATCTGAATATTGTCATCTAGATGTGTTCAGGTCGGGACTCTGATCAAATGTGAAGTTTTGTTGAGATTGGACCATGTACATTGAAGTTATGATAAATTCCTGTTGCCACTAGGTGGCGTTATCACTATTACCAAATATGATCACATGGATGTGACTCTTATCATAAATAAATATATCAACCATATGTTTTGCATTTTCTGACCACATTTGAGCTGGATCTGATCAACCTGATAGGAGTAGAACTTAAAATTATTGATATTTCCTGTTGCCAGTAGGTGGTGCTATCATATCTGAATATTGTCATGTAGATGTGTTCAGGGCAGGACTTTGGGTTATGGGCTTTCTGGGGGGCGTGGGTAAGACATTTTGCTTATTCTTAAGATTCACAAGATGTCATCGTCATCATCCTAATGGAGTTCTGACAAGGTTTTAGCTGGATCTGGTCAATCTGCTGGAAGATACACAGTAAAGTATAAAAATGACACTTCCTTTCACCACTAGGTGAGTGGCGCTATCACTATTACTGGATATTGTCATGTAGATGAGTTACAGAATATGTGAAGTTTAGTGGAGATTAGACATTGTACATTGAAGTTGAGTACTTTCTATTTCATGGCGAATCGTCGAAATTCAATGCAACACCATGGGCAAGCTGTTCAAGGTACAGTCACAAATAGCACAACTTTTAATCAGCCACATTTTTAAACTATACTGACCAATTTTGATGTTGGTCCGATAAATTGCCTGGGAGGAGTTTGTTCAAATACAGGGCAAAAAATTGCAGAAAATGGCTGCAAAATTCAAAATGGCCAACTTTGACGGCACGCCACGGACACGCCCTTCAACGTAGAGTCACAAATAGCACAACTACTAATCAACAACATATGTTGACTGTACTTACTAATTTTGTAGCAGATCTGATGAATTCTCTTGGAGGAGTTCGTTTAAATACAACGCAAAAAAACGCTGAAAATCAATGCAAAATGCTGGAAATGGCATCACAGTGACATTTGATTCAACCTGGCCAACTTTGATGGCACGCCACAGACACGCCCTTTAATATACAATCACAAATAGCACAACTTTTAATCAACAACATATGGTGACTGTACTGACCAATTTTGAAGTAGATCCAATTAATTCCCTAGGAGGAGTTCGTTCAAATACAAGGCGAAAATTCACAGAAAATGAGCACGGAATTCAAAATGGCCAACTTTGACGGAAAACCATGGACAACCGGTCCCCAGGTGCTAGGTGTAAAATTTTGTGCGAATTGGACAAAGCGTGTAGGAGGAACACAAAAAAGTAGTTTAAGGACATTTCACGCTCTAACGAAAAAAAATTATAGGCAGACGTTGGCGGGGCCTATATGGGGAGATTCAGCTCCATTCACCGAACGCGTGGATACAAGGTTTTTGAATGTACCTCAAACTATGCAGAAGTTATTAGCCTAAATGCATTCTTTTTATGATAATAGCGCCACCTAGTGCCGATCTGAAAGTGACGCATAGAATCTAAAATTTTTCACCAGGCCTGACCACTCAAATAAAATTTAGTTTTCGTATATGGTCAGGGGGGCAAAAACGCAGTCGAAGTGGCCTAAAATAATTATAATAGGTAAGAAATTGAGCAAAAACAATAGGATCTTGCTATGAAAACAATAAAACAAAAGTGTCTGTATATACTGAACATGGTACTCACAGGTCAAACTGACCCTTATAATAAGAGATACAAATAAAACAAATAACATTTCATCTGTGATTGAATGAAATAAAAATGTCTACATACGCTGATGGTACTGTTTTCTATTTGAAGATCAAGGTGTGGATTGTTGTTTTTCTTTATGAAGCTCAGTATGGCCAAGTGGACACTTACATTTTGTTCCAGGGTGGTGACTTCCTGTTCAGATTTCACCAGTTTGAACTTGAGCTCACTCATTTGTCTGTTGGCGTCTCCTGAAGAAAATACAACAAATATTAAAATTACAGTAGTTCATATACGGAAGCTGTTCTGAGGTAAACATCTGTAAATTTGACGTTAAATTTGTTCAATTAATGACGACAATATATATATATATATATATATATATATATATATATGAAAATATATATTATGAAGAAGAAGAGTTCTCACTCTGTAGGTCCAGAAGATGAGCGTCAATCCCGTTCTCCAGACCGCCCCCCTCTGGATTCTGGACCCCGTCGTTCCCGTTCTTCTGTCTCTGATCCAGCTGAGACTTTAACAGCCTCACCTGCTCACATACAAATAATCACTTATAATAAACATTCATCTGAGAGATTATTCTGAGTCTGTGGAACAAAAGCAAACATTTGTGTTTAGCTAACCTGATCGTGTAAACTCTCTCTTTCTTCTAATAGTTTCTTCAGCCGGAGTTCTGCAACACAAAAATAACTTGACATTATCCGTAGTAACTTAAAGCTGAACGTCAGAAATAAAGGCCACAACATTCAGGTTAAACAACAGGTTAACAGAATATAACAATAAGGCACTTACAGACAGACAGAAATTAAGCTTTACTGTTTCAATGTGTACGATATTGTGCACATATTGATTTTAAATAGGGAATCCCAGTAGACAGACAGCAGTAAGTAATATTACCCAAAACAAACTACGTATTAAGCACTAGAATTTAAAATGGCTCCAGAATAGAACCCTGAGGAACATCACCATTGATTATTAACACTGTCACATTGATCACAGTGCTTATCATTCATCTTAATTACTGAAGATATGCTTCAGCACCAAACATTTCCCCCAAATTATTATGGATTTAATTATAAAGATTAAATTGTTTTCCATAAACATAATAAACAATCAATATAGAAATGAAATTATAATTGGTATTGGAATTATTGGATTATTCACTAAAGAAATCCTATTATTCATGGAAAAAGACAGAAATATTAATAAATAAGGTAATAAAGACACTTTCTTACCCCTGTAAAGTGATTTTACTGGAAAGAAAATCTCAAAAAAGTGGACACATATTGATAAATAAATCCCTTAAAGAAACTCAATAAAATAATAAAACTACACAGTGAATGACAGCAGCAGACAGACACAATCTACAGGAACATTTTATTTGTTGGCTCAGTGCAGAGGTTTATGTATATATACATAACCTGTTTGGACAGAAGCAGTCAGGGTACAGTTCATGGCCTCAGCACAATCCGGTTCTCACTGACTTTTTGAGACCTCCTCTGCAGGTTTATTTGGACCTTCATGTGCAATCAGAAACCTCAAAAACGAACAATTTAATTACAAATTTTGTGAATGACTGATACAAATGCCTAAAAACGTTGAGAGCCTGTTTGGCCTTTTGCGCACTTTGTGGTATCCGGCTAACTGGCACAAACTGTAAGACCCAGTAAAATTATCGCTTCAGTTCAATCTCTTTTTGTTCAGATGATAAACGAGAATCAGTGAGCTAAATGTCCAACTAGTCCTTTAAAGTTAAACTAAGTTCACAGATAATGTCCAGATGTAATGTTTAATTTGTACTGAGATGTTTCATGTTAAATTATGAAATCTTGCAGTCAGTTTTGTGTTCGTCTTTCCTGCTGTCCAATCTCAATCCTTTCCCTCCTCTCAGGGGTTTTACGCCACTCGCCTCTGGAACGAATTTTACATCTTCAACGACAACTTCTGTCACTGGTTGGCGTTGCTGCTGTGTTGCCGGATGCTGTCCTGCCTCCTCACCAACCTCTTCACAGCTGTCCATGTCTCCAACAGACAGCTCTTTGTCAGCATTAGACCCTGTTGACTCGTCAATCTGTCGATCCTCAAAGATTCGGCCTTCTTGTAGACTCATCAACACCAACTCCGGAACAGCCATTGCCTTGATTTCCTTTGCAGTTATTTCTAGAAGTCTTCTGACCTTTGAACTTTGACCAACGTGATTGTTTGTCGATAACGTTCGATGCCTTTTGAGTTGCATCTCAACAACTTCCTCAACAGAAACAAGGAGGCAGCTTTGACTTCTGTGAACAATCTCTCTCTGGTCGTCTGTTTTATCAACGACTTCCAACAAACATTCCACTGTTTGGGTTTTTGCAGGTTCAGCAAAGTATGACTCAACAAACACAAATTCCTCACAGCAGCTCGTCACCATTGGACCACTCTGACTTTCTTCTACTTTAGCAGAATTGGCCCCAGGATTTTCTTCTGGAGAGGATTCAGTGACTTCCACCTTGAATTTACAAACACCAAACATGACCTCTGAGGTATTTTCTGTTGCTTCTAGATTATCCCCTGCTTCACAAACTTTCCTTGAGTCCCTGGAGACATCAATAGTTTGAGTTAGTTCCTCTAGAGAAGATACCAGAAAGTCATTTATTAATGCAGACTGTCCAACATCACTTTCAGGGTCTTCTGGTGTTTTTTTTCCTCCTGGTAACTCATTCAAAGGTAGTTCACCCTCCTCAGTGACTTTAATACCCGTCATTTGGACTGTTGAATCTTGGTTAACTGTATCACACTGATCTGACACATTTCCTGCAATGTTCTTTAGCGTCTCCTCAATACATTTAATCCACTGATTGAGAGGTTCTGGGACGTCTGGAAACATTCTTGATGTTTCAGCTGCAAAACCTTGATTTTCTACAAACGCTCTCAGCATACTTTGAATCGTATTTTCCAAACCACTCCCATCCTTCCACATCTGGACTGGATCAAACGGTGACAGAGTTGCTGTTTCTGTCTGGTTGTTACATTCAGGACGTTCAGAGGAATTGCTTTCAGTCTTTTCCTGAATCTTAACAGCTTCTCCAACCGGTTTCTCTGGTGTACCTGACGTTTCCCCAATGGCTGCCTCCTCTGCAGGTAGAAATACATTAAGCTCTGATAGTTTCAGTTTGGCTTCAAAACTTGAACCTTCAGATAGACCAGAGCAACCTAAATTACCCTGGTTCTCTGAGGCTTTGTCTTTACTTAGGGTACCTCCCAAATTCTCTGAAATTGTCCGCTGGTGGTCTACAAGACTTTGAGAGGTCTGACCCAACATTACAAAATTTTCCACCAAATCGGTGAGAACCTTTGTAGCTTTGTTTTCAAAACTTTGTCTGTCACACCCTTTGCCATCAATCTCTGCCATTTTGTCAACAAATTCATTTTCTTTCCGACGGTCTCCTGATGTTGGAGCACTAAACTCATTTATTTCATTTTGGTTTGCACACAAAGCTGGAATATCAGGCACTTCTTTCCCTTCTGAACAGTGTACACCCCTGCATGACTTTCCATCTTTCTTTTGATCTTCAGAAATAGGAGCAACAGCAGACAAACAATTTTGTGCAACATCCCTTTGTTTTTCAGCAGCCATGATACCTGACACCATCGCCTTGTTGTCCAGGATGATGTCTTTTGCAGGTCGAGGTGGAACCAGTCTTGATTTGCTGACTTTTTCAGCTGAAACACTGCAAACAGGTGAAACTAAATCTACACTCGTTGCCTGACTTTCAGTTTGAGCTCCCCCATGGATCGTCTGAATGATGCAGATTTGGTCATGAAAGGAGCGGTCCTGGTTTGATTTCAGTCCAGAGTCACTGTGAGGTTTGGTTCTGCCTTTAAAGGCCGGATCTTCAGTTAATTCAGTTCCTTGCTCATTTCTCATCTGTTGTTTTTTAATTCCTTCATTTCTAAACAAAGGATTTCCGTCCTGCCTGGTTTGAAACTTCTTGCTTGGCTCTTTTTCACTTCCCTTTCTTGGTATTTTCCTTGCACCCTCGTTTCTGGCTGCTAGTTTCTCTGTCCCGCCCCTTCTTCCACTGGCCTGTTTATCTAACTTCTTCACTGGGTGTAACGGGTCTGGTTTGGTTTGGTCGCCGGTGGAGATGGCGTTTAGTGATTGGGAATGTTTGTAACAGCCGTTGTGCTTCCTGTCATCCTGCTGCAGTTTGCTGCCCTCTGCTGGCTGCTGCTCTCCAACCTTCCCTGAAAGATCATGAAGGAGACGTTGGAGGACAGTCGACTGTTTAAAGACGGTAGAGACGTTTGGAATTAACCCGAACCGACTGGATGAGAGATGAATCAAGAAGAATTAAAGAGACTTCTCCTGCAGGACGATGCTGACGTGTTAGAAAGCAGAAGAGACGCTCAGTTGATCAAAGTCATGAAATGTTCTCATCACAAACAAAGATTATTAAGTAGCATGCGTTTATTAGATTATAATAATAATAATTTATATCATGCATTTTATTCCAAACCCACATTCACTTTAAAAAGTAAGTTCATTAATTGTGTCACAGTTCTAATTGTTAGATTTGATTATATGGACGCTCAGTGTAGATAAAAATTTTCATTATCTCAAATCTTTCACTTTTCCTATAATTAAAAAGCGATAATTAAAATTCAATAAATCAAAATTATAACTTTCTTTAACTTTAATCTCTGTATCCAATAGGATTTAATATCTTATAATTGTGACGTAATAGATCCTGAATCGATGGGTAATAAAAATGTCTTAAACGTTCATAATAATAATAATAATAATAATAATAATAATAATAATGATATAATAATAATAATAATAATCTTAAATTAAAAAGTAATAGTTATAAATTAAAGACGTCAAAGTCATTTCAAATTTTGATTTAATCACAATGTTAAAAGTTAATTTCAATTAAACAGTAATTTTCTGGCTTCCATACAATCTAGTTTCATTATTAATGACTGTTACTGATTTCTTATTGAATAGCTGATCCTTACCGAGCGCGCTCTCTCTGCTACCAGGAGACGGCTCCTCGTCCAATCGGGCGGCAGATTCAGCGCTGACGTCATCCTCACCCTGTCTTATCTCCCCATTGGTGGAGAACTCGGGAAAGACGACGACCCCGTGTTGCTGTTGGGGAGAAAATCAATAATGGGAGAACTTTCAGGTTGATGACGATCAGAAAAACATATGAATTAATATATTAATAAATATATCAATTATTTTATTGAATTATATTGAATCAGCTGAATATTGATCAGCTGAATATTGATCAGGTGATGGATGAATGACGCTGATGATTTTTAGTGACATCACACAGGTGGAGGAAGTGACAACATCAGGACTTCCTGCTCTGAATACCTTCAATAAATCTCTGAGTGCGACCACCTCGTCTCTGAGCCGATCACGCTCCCTCCGAACAACGTCAGAGATCTCCCTCTGCCTCTCTAACGCCTGAGAGGAGGAGGAGGAGGAGGAGGAGGAGGAGGTTTGAAGAGGAGGACGAGGACGAGGACGAGGATGAGGAGGAGGAGGAGGAGGAGGAGGAAGTTTGAAGAGGAGGAGGAGCAGGAGGAGGAAGAGGAGGAACAGGAGGAGGAGGAAGAGGAGAGGTTAGAAGAGGAAGAGGAGGATGAACAGGAGGAGGAGGAAGAGAAATTAGAAGAGGTGGAAGAGGAGGAGGAGGAGGACGAGGAGGAAGTTTGAAGAGGAGGAAGAGGAGGACGAGGAGGAAGTTTGAAGAGGAGGAAGAGGAGGACGAGGAGGAAGTTTGAAGAGGAGGAGGAGGAGGAGGAAGAGAGGAGGAAGGAAGTTTGAAGAGGAGGAGGAGGAGGAGGAGGAGGAGGGAGGAGGAGGAGGAGGAGGAGTTTGAAGAGGAGGAGGAGGAGGAGGAGGAGGAGGAGGAGGAGGAGGAGGAAGTTTGAAGAGGAGGAGGATGAGGACGAGGATGAGGAGGAAGTTTGAAGAGGAGGAGGAGGAGGAGGAGGAGGAAGTTTGAAGAGGAGGAGGAGGAGAGGTTAGAAGAGGAGGAGGAGGAGGGAGGAAGAGGAGGACAAGGAGGAAGAGGACAAGGAGGAGGAGGAGGAACAGGAGGAGGAGGAGGAGGAAAGAAAATATCAGAAATTTTTCTAAAAAAAGTTCTCTGCCCTTCACATATCTGATATATTATTTATATACTGTAACATCCACTAACTGTATATACACTGATTTATTGATCACTGATATATTGATCACTAACAGTATAAAGACTGATATATTGATCACAGATATATTGATCACTAACAGTATAAAGACTGATATATTGATCACTGATATATTGATCACTAACAGTATAAAGACTGATATATTGATCACTGATATATTGATCACTAACAGTATCTAGACTGATATATTGATCACTGATATATTGATCACTAACAGTATAAAGACTGATATATTGATCACTGATATATTGATCACTAACAGTATCTAGACTGATGTATGGATTTAATGTACATTCTCTGCAGCTACATGTCTTTAGATGTGGCTGCAGCTTTACAGCAGTCTGTTCGAGCTGACCCAGGAAGGAAGAATATGAACACATAATCTGTTGATCTGAGACTTCCTAAATCACAGTTCTCTGGAGAACAGTGCTGACTGCAGGTCGGTTCTAACAGAGAACATTCTGTCTGATCTAACTCTTCATCGTACCACCATCTTCTTCTCTTTCCACTGCAGAACTTCCTGCAGGTCAGAAACCTCCTGACAATAACTGCTGCTCTTCACCCGCAGGTCAGACACCTCCTGAGTAGTAGTAGTAGTAGTAGTAGTAGTAGGAGGAGGAGGAGGAGGAGGAGGAGGAAGAGGAAGGACAGAAAGAAGTGGAAAACCAAAAGCGTGCAGGAAGATGAAGAACAGAGAGTGTTAGTATGAGCTGCATTAAAGGCGGAGATTGTAATCCTGTTCTGTCCCAGTATGAGTCAGTGTGTGTGAGTGTATTGATCAGATTATTGATCAGCAGAGAGTGAACGGGTTGTAGTGTAGCTTTGTCCCTCTGCTGCCTGTGAACTGATTTCTGTGTGTTTCTATGTAGGGATGAGGGTCAAAGGTTGTGACCTTTATGCTCCCGAGTGCCTTCTTTCTCCGCTTCCCTACAGTGCCAACAGTGGGCAACACTAGCTAACATTATTTTATAAATGGAGTCCGCTAACGTCTACAAACAACCGACACCCACCACAACACAGAGTCCAACATAAAGTCCAAAGTCAAAACTAACATTACTGATAAGCTAGTGGGATATATTGTCTGATTGCGCTTTTGAACTTTAGCTTGGTTGCTAACATAGCGCTAGCAAAATACTATCTGAGTGGAAATATTACAACAGACTGACCGTCAGCAGCTCTTCAGTCTGTGTCAGGGTTTCTTTCATCTCTTTGAACTGGAACTGGAGAACACTGTGAGCCTGACGCTCACGCTCAAACTCCTGCAACAGAGGGTTCATAATCAATCACTGATCAATCATTATTGATCATTCTGTGTTTATATTACAGTCACTGCGAAGTACAGAAAGAAAGACGTCACTCTACAACAAAAACTCACAATGCGTAAAAAGTGTCAGTTTGAGCTCTATGTGACCTCTGTGGGAACTCATTGGGAACTAAGTGGGAACTCAGTGGGAACTCAGTGGAAACTCTGTGACCTCAGTGTGAGCTCTATGTGACCTCCGTGTGATGTCTATGTGACCTAAGTGTGAGCTCTATGTGACCTAAGTGTGAGCTCTATGTGACCTAAGTGTGAGCTCTATGTGACCTAAGTGTGAGCTCTACGTGACCTCTGTGTGATGTCTCTGTGACCTCAGTGTGAGCTCTATGTGACCTCAGTGTGAGCTCTATGTGACCTCAGTGTGAGCCCTATGTGACCTCAGTGTGATGTCTGTGACCTCAGTGTGATGTCTATGTGACCTCAGTGTGAGCTCTATGTGACCTCAGTGATACCTCAGTGTGACCTCAGTGTATGGTCTATGTGACCTCTGTGTGAGCTCTACGTGACCTCAGTGTGATGTCTATGTGACCTCAGTGTGATGTCTATGTGACCTAAGTGTGAGCTCTATGTGACCTCAGTGTGAGCTCTATGTGACCTCAGTGTATGGTCTATGTGACCTCAGTGTGAGCTCTACGTGACCTCCGTGTGACGTCTATGTGACCTCCGTGTGATGTCTATGTGACCTCCGTGTGATGTCTATGTGACCTAAGTGTGAGCTGTATGTGACCTCAGTGATACCTCAGTGTGACCTCAGTGTATGGTCTATGTGACCTCAGTGTATGGTCTACGTGACCTCAGTGTGATGTCTATGTGACCTCAATGTGATGTCTATGTGACCTAAGTGTGATGTCTATGTGACCTAAGTGTGAGCTCTATGTGACCTCAGTGATACCTCAGTGTGACCTCAGTGTATGGTCTATGTGACCTCAGTGTATGGTCTATATGACCTCAGTGTATGGTCTATATGACCTCAGTGTGATGTCTCTGTGACCTCAGTGTGATGTCTCTACGTGACCTCTGTGGAGCTCTACGTGACCTGAGTGTGAGCTCTATGTGACCTCAGTGTGACCTCAGTGTATGGTCTATGTGACCTCAGTGTATGGTCTATGTGACCTCAGTGTGATGTCTATGTGACCTCAGTGTGATGTCTATGTGACCTAAGTGGGAGCTCTATGTGACATCAGTGTGATGTCTATGTGACCTAAGTGTGAGCTCTATGTGACCTCAGTGATACCTCAGTGTGACCTCAGTGTGAGCTCTATGTGATCTCAGTGTGATGTCTCTGTGACCTCAGTGTGATGTCTCTGTGACCTCAGTGTGAGCAGACCCAGAACCTCAGTGATGTCTCTGGACCTCAGTGTGATGTCTCTGGACCTCAGTGTGATGTCTCTGTGACCTCAGTGTGATGTCTCTGGACCTCAGTGTGAGCTCTATGTGACCTCAGTGTGACCTCTATGTGACCTCAGTGTAACCCAGGTGAGCTCTATGTGACCTCAGTGTGAGCCCATGTGACCTCAGTGATACCTCAGCGTGAGCCATGTGAGCCTATGTGACACCTCAGTGTGAGCTCTATGTGACCTCAGTGTGAGCTCTATGTGACCTAAGTGTGAGCTCTATGTGACCTCAGTGATACCTCAGTGTGACCTCAGTGTAGGTCTAGACCTCAGTGTATGGTCTATATGACCTCAGTGTATGGTCTATATGACCTCAGTGTGATGTCTCTGTGACCTCAGTGTGATGTCTCTACGTGACCTCTGTGTGAGCTCTACGTGACCTGAGTGTGAGCTCTATGTGACCTCAGTGTGACCTCAGTGTATGGTCTATGTGACCTCAGTGTATGGTCTATGTGACCTCAGTGTGATGTCTATGTGACCTCAGTGTGATGTCTATGTGACCTAAGTGGGAGCTCTATGTGACATCAGTGTGATGTCTATGTGACCTAAGTGTGAGCTCTATGTGACCTCAGTGATACCTCAGTGTGACCTCAGTGTGAGCTCTATGTGATCTCAGTGTGATGTCTCTGTGACCTCAGTGTGATGTCTCTGTGACCTCAGTGTGAGCTCTATGTGACCTCAGTGATACCTCAGTGTGATGTCTCTGTGACCTCAGTGTGATGTCTCTGTGACCTCAGTGTGATGTCTCTGTGACCTCAGTGTGATGTCTCTGTGACCTCAGTGTGAGCTCTATGTGACCTCAGTGTGACCTCAGTGTGAGCTCCATGTGACCTCAGTGATACCTCAGCGTGAGCTCTATGTGAGCTCTATGTGACACCTCAGTGTGAGCTCTATGTGACCTCAGTGTGAGCTCTATGTGACCTCAGTGTGAGCTCTATGTGACCTCAGTGATACCTCAGTGTGATGTCTATGTGGCCTCAGTGTGATGTCTATGTGACCTTAGTTTGATGTCTATGTGACCTCAGTGTGAGCTCTATGTGACCTCAGTGTGAGCTCTATGTGACCTGAGTGTGAGCTCTACGTGACCTGAGTGTGAGCTCTACGTGACCTGAGTGTGAGCTCTACGTGACCTCAGTGTGATGTCTCTGTGACCTCAGTGTGAGCTCTATGTGACCTCAGTGATACCTCAGTGATACCTCAGTGTGAACTCTATGTGACCTCAGTGATACCTCAGTGTGAGCTCTACGTGACCTCAGTGTGATGTCTATGTGAACTCAGTGTGAACTCTGTGACCTCAGTGATAACTTAGTGTGAGCTATGTGTGAGCTCTATGTGACCTCAGTGATACCTCAGTGTGACCTCAGTGTGAGCTCTACGTGACCTCAGTGTGATGTCTATGTGAACTCAGTGTGAGCTCTATGTGACCTCAGTGATACCTCAGTGTGAGCTCTATGTGACCTCAGTGTGATGTCTCTGTGACCTCAGTGTGAGCTCTATTTGACCTCAGTGATACCTCAGTGTGAACTCTATGTGACCTCAGTGATACCTCAGTGTGAGCTCTACGTGACCTCAGTGTGATGTCTATGTGAACTCAGTGTGAGCTCTATGTGACCTCAGTGATACCTTAGTGTGAGCTATGTGTGAGCTCTACGTGACCTTAGTGTGAGCTCTATGTGACCTCCGTGTGATGTCTATGTGACCTAAGTGTGAGCTCTATGTGACCTAAGTGTGAGCTCTATGTGACCTCTGTGTGAGCTCTACGTGACCTCTGTGTGATGTCTCTGTGACCTCAGTGTGAGCTCTATGACCTCAGTGTGAGCTCTATGTGACCTCAGTGGAGCTCGTTGGACCTCAGTGTGAGCTCGGGACCCAGTGTGATGTCTGTGACCTCAGTGTGATGTCTGTGACCTCAGTGTGATGTCTAGGACCTCAGTGTGAGCTCTGTGTGACCTCAGTGATACCTCAGTGTGACCTCAGTGTATGGTCTATGTGACCTCTGTGTGAGCTCTACGTGACCTCAGTGTGATGTCTACGTGACCTCAGTGTGATGTCTATGTGACCTAAGTGTGAGCTCTATGGACCTCAGTGAGGTCTATGTGACCTCAGTGTGAGCTCTACGTGACCTCCGTGTGACGTCTATGTGACCTCCGTGTGATGTCTATGTGACCTAAGTGTGAGCTGTATGTGACCTCAGTGATACCTCAGTGTGACCTCAGTGTATGGTCTATGTGACCTCAGTGTGATGTCTATGTGAACTCAGTGTGAGCTCTATGTGACCTCAGTGATACCTCAGTGTGAGCTCTATGTGACCTCAGTGTGATGTCTCTGTGACCTCAGTGTGAGCTCTATTTGACCTCAGTGATACCTCAGTGTGAACTCTATGTGACCTCAGTGATACCTCAGTGTGAGCCTACGTGACCTCAGTGTGATGTCTATGTGAACTCAGTGTGAGCTCTATGTGACCTCAGTGATACCTTAGTGTGAGCTATGTGTGAGCTCTACGTGACCTGAGTGTGAGCTCTATGTGACCTCCGTGTGATGTCTATGTGACCTAAGTGTGAGCTCTATGTGACCTAAGTGTGAGCTCTATGTGACCTCGTGTGAGCTCTACGTGACCTCTGTGTGATGTCTGTGACCTCAGTGTGAGCTCTATGTGACCTCAGTGGAGCTCTATGTGACCTCAGTGTGAGCTCGTGTGACCTCAGTGTGAGCTCGTGGACCTCAGTGTGAGCTCATGGACCTCAGTGGATGTCTGTGACCTCAGTGTGATGTCTGTGACCTCAGTGTGATGTCTATGTGACCTCAGTGTGAGCTCTATGTGACCTCAGTGTGAGCTCTATGTGACCTCAGTGATACCTCAGTGTGACCTCAGTGTATGGTCTATGTGACCTCTGTGGGAGCTCTACGTGACCTCAGTGTGATGTCTATGTGACCTCAATGTGATGTCTATGTGACCTAAGTGTGATGTCTATGTGACCTAAGTGTGAGCTCTATGTGACCTCAGTGATACCTCAGTGTGACCTCAGTGTATGGTCTATGTGACCTCAGTGTATGGTCTATGTGACCTCAGTGTGATGTCTCTGTGACCTCAGTGTGATGTCTCTGTGACCTCAGTGTGATGTCTCTACGTGACCTGAGTGTGATGTCTCTACGTGACCTGAGTGTGATGTCTCTACGTGACCTGAGTGTGAGCTCTACGTGACCTGAGTGTGAGCTCTACGTGACCTCAGTGTGACCTCAGTGTATGGTCTATGTGACCTCAGTGTATGGTCTATGTGACCTCAGTGTGATGTCTATGTGACCTCAGTGTGATGTCTATGTGACCTCAGTGTGATGTCTATGTGACCTAAGTGGGAGCTCTATGTGACATCAGTGTGATGTCTATGTGACCTAAGTGTGAGCTCTATGTGACCTCAGTGATACCTCAGTGTGACCTCAGTGTGAGCTCTATGTGATCTCAGTGTGATGTCTCTGTGACCTCAGTGTGATGTCTCTGTGACCTCAGTGTGATGTCTCTGTGACCTCAGTGTGAGCTCTATGTGACCTCAGTGATACCTCAGTGTGATGTCTCTGTGACCTCAGTGTGATGTCTCTGTGACCTCAGTGTGATGTCTCTGTGACCTCAGTGTGATGTCTCTGTGACCTCAGTGTGAGCTCTATGTGACCTCAGTGTGAGCTCTATGTGACCTCAGTGTGAGCTCTATGTGACCTCAGTGTGAGCTCCATGTGACCTCAGTGTGAGCTCCATGTGACCTCAGTGATACCTCAGCGTGAGCTCTATGTGAGCTCTATGTGACACCTCAGTGTGAGCTCTATGTGACCTCAGTGTGAGCTCTATGTGACCTCAGTGTGAGCTCTATGTGACCTCAGTGATACCTCAGTGTGATGTCTATGTGGCCTCAGTGTGATGTCTATGTGACCTTAGTTTGATGTCTATGTGACCTCAGTGTGAGCTCTATGTGACCTCAGTGTGATGTCTATGTGACCTGAGTGTGAGCTCTACGTGACCTGAGTGTGAGCTCTACGTGACCTGAGTGTGAGCTCTACGTGACCTCAGTGTGATGTCTATGTGAACTCAGTGTGAGCTCTATGTGACCTCAGTGATACCTCAGTGTGAGCTCTATGTGACCTCAGTGTGATGTCTCTGTGACCTCAGTGTGAGCTCTATTTGACCTCAGTGATACCTCAGTGATACCTCAGTGTGAACTCTATGTGACCTCAGTGATACCTCAGTGTGAGCTCTACGTGACCTCAGTGTGATGTCTATGTGTTCCAGTGTGAACTCTGTGACCTCAGTGATACCTTAGTGTGAGCTATGTGTGAGCTCTATGTGACCTCAGTGATACCTCAGTGTGACCTCAGTGTGAGCTCTACGTGACCTCAGTGTGATGTCTATGTGAACTCAGTGTGAGCTCTATGTGACCTCAGTGATACCTCAGTGTGAGCCTCATGTGATGTCTCTGTGACCTCAGTGTGATGTCTCTGTGACCTCAGTGTGAGCTCTATTTGACCTCAGTGATACCTCAGTGATACCTCAGTGTGAACTCTATGTGACCTCAGTGATACCTCAGTGTGAGCTCTATGTGACCTCAGTGTGATGTCTATGTGAACTCAGTGTGAGCTCTATGTGACCTCAGTGATACCTTAGTGTGAGCTATGTGTGAGCTCTATGTGACCTCAGTGATACCTCAGTGTGACCTCAGTGTATGCTCTATGTGTCCTCAGTGTGATGTCTACGTGACCTCAGTGTGAGCTCTATGTGACCTCAGTGTGATGTCTCTGTGACCTCAGTGTGATGTCTATGTGACCTCAGTGTGATGTCTATGTGACCTCAGTGTGAGCTCTATGTGACCTCAGTGATACCTCAGTGTGAGCTATGTGACCTCAGTGTGAGCTCTATGTGACCTCAGTGATACCTCAGTGTGACCTTAGTGTATGCTCTGTGACGTCAGTGTGATGTCTATGTGACCTCTGTGTGAGCTCTATGTGACCTCAGTGATACCTCAGTGTGAGCTCTATGTGACCTCAGTGTGAGCTCTATGTGACCTCAGTGTGATGTCTCTGTGACCTCAGTGTGAACTCTACGTGACCTCAGTGTGAGCTCTATGTGACCTCTATGTGACCTCTGTGTGAGCTCTATGGGACCTCTGTGTGAGCTCTATGTGACCTCTGTGTGAGCTCTATGTGACCTCTGTCTGATGTCTCTGTGACCTCTGTGTGAGCTCTATGTGACCTCAGTGATACCTCAGCATGAGCTCTATGTGACCTCTGACCTTGGTCCTGCCGTCGCAGTGTCGTCGTGACTCCCACAGCAGCTCCTCCATGTTGCTGAGTTCTTCCTTCAGAGTTTCTACCTGATACATCAGAGCAGACTTCTCGTTGTGGAGCTGAGCGTTAGAGACCATCGCTCTACGGTACTTCTCCTCCGCCTCCACCAGAGACTCCTGAACATATTGATTAATATTGATTATAGTACACTGCCTCCACCAGAGAAAACCCCAAATGGACTATATTTATAAATTACTAATATTTACTATAATATAAGTGTATTATGAATAAAATGAATTAAATGAATGATGAATGAATGGGAGTATATTATTGATTATTGATAACCTTCATGTCTCTGATCGACGCCTCCGTCTCCACGGAGAAAGACGTGTCGCAGCTTCCTCTGCGAGATGAAGCTCCGCCCAGAGAGGCGAGAGTGGCGGCGGAGAGAGTCGAAGCCGTCCTTGAACCCTGACGAAGAGCAGCACAAACATTTTCATCAATCAACAATCAATAATAAACAATCAATAATAAACCGTTAAAATTAACTGTTCATTAACATCATTAATTAATTAAAAGCGGACTCACTTTATCCAGGAAGTCTCTGTCCGGTCTCTCCTCCACCTGAACACACAAACACAAGTTACTGATCGATCACACTGATTGATCATTGCTGCATTACCATGGAGACACTGTGTATCATATAAAGTGGACTTAAGCGGAATGTGCACAATGTGGCCACCAGGTGGAGCCAGAGAGAGAGGACCAGAGAGAGAGGGGGAAGCAGGCACATAGACACCCAGAGAGAAGAGCTCACCACTGGGCTCGCACGAGCTGAACTGGCCCTGGAGGACGCTCGAGAGCTGGAGCCCAAAAACCCACTGTAGTCTGAAGGCTGGGGGTGGGGGGGGAAAGACGGATGAAGGAAGGAAGGAAGGAAGGAAGGAAGGAAGGAAGAAAGAAAGAAGAGTTAGTATTGATCAGTTTCTCAGGATGAAAAACAACTTTTTGATTTCATTGATATATATTTATATATTTCATATTGATATTTTTGAACTAACAGAAACAGAAAGTTGCTGACAGCAGGATGACGTTAGCTGCAGATTGATTATTGATTATTGATCAGCTGCAGACTCACCCTGAAGCTTCCTCTGCTGCCCACAGACATTCTCTCTTCATCATCTGACATCTGAAACACACAAACACACAGACTGAGACCAGATCCACCAGTCTGACCCAGGTCCTGGTCCAGGTCCAGGTCCAGAGTCATTAAACCTAGAGGCAGCAGACAATTAGGATCCCAGGGCCTTACATTGATAATCAATTAGTATTAATTAATTAATTAATTAATTATAATCAATAATAATCACAGTTTCATTGTAAGAACACATTTTAGTTCCACTATGGAGACATATATTGATCCAGATATTGATCACTGACAGTGTGTCAGGACAGGAGAGTGTCAATCAATAAAAAAACAGATATTTAAACAACCTTACATTGTCATGATTATTGATTATTGTTGATTATCTGATAAATAAACAGGCTCATTATTATTGATTAAAGGTTTTAAATACCTAACTCAGAGCGCCACAATGCATCTCAGACCAATGAGTGCTACTGCCCACCAGATTCCATTCACAAAACCAGTCATTTTACCTCACAGTGCAACGCTTACAAAACAGAATCACCCAAACTGTCTTTGTTTGTCTTTCCAACAATCACCAACAGTCGGAATAATCCTTTAATTCACAGAGTTAATGGCTGCACAAAGGGCTGCGATGTACCATTAGTTAATGTTAGTTAATCCTTGTGGATTATTACAGCCATAATATCATTAACCCTCTCCACCAGACTCCAGAGACAAAAACGCTAATTTTAGCAGATAAACATAAAATACACTCAAAACTCGACAGAAATAAAATACTCATTAACTCATTAAAAGCGTCTCTGTTAGTGTTTCCAACAATCACCAACTTTGGTTTGGTGAAAATAAATCCTTAATTCACCGACGTAGATGATAAAAACAGCAGTTTCAGTCGGAGCAGACCGGCTATGGAAACAAACCACAGAGAGGCTGCGATACAACACAGGTAGAGGGAGAGAGACACCATGATACAGTTGTTTAATGTTCACTCTTCCTGTTGATATCTACAGTTAACAGATGGAGGAAGAGGAGGAGGAAGAGGAAGACGAAGACGAAGAGGAAGAGGAAGAGGAGGCAGATACAGACCGAAGCGTGTCTCCGTGAGTGGCGAGAATACCGCTCACTGTCCTCCTGAAAGGCCATGAAGAAGAAACACAAGTTAGAAAGTGTAGAAGAACAGACAGACAGGCAGATAGACAGACAGACAGACAGGCAGACAGACAGGCAGGCAGACAGACAGGCAGGCAGACAGACAGGCAGGCAGGCAGACAGACAGGCAGACTGGGACACCTACAGCCTGACAGACAAACTGAGGGCAAAGCAAAGCAAAAGCAATCGCATGAAACATCTATAATCAATCAATAAGATCAATAATCAATAAGATCAACATGCTGTGTGCAGCTACAGGGACTCATGCAGTGAGGAAGAGGAGGAGGATGAAGGTCTGAACTCAGATTATCTGTCAGACGAGGATTAAACAGGCTGCTAATCCACAGCTGTCTGAGCACGTGCACAACAAACAACAACAAACACACAAACAAACAAACACACAAACAGCAGACACATGACAACCTCTCTAACTGGACCCTGTCCCAGTCTGTGAACTGGTTTGACCTTTGACCTCCAGCTGCTGATCAGAATCAACATAAACAAACAGACCGGATGTTTTTACACTCACAGCTCTATTTATTGTTATTGTTATTATTGTTATTATTATTATTACTATTATTACTATTATTACTACATTACGTATTACATTATTACATCATATTATATGATACATTACATTACTTTAAGTAATGATATGTTCAGTAAGGGCTCATGTCTGATGTCCATTCTGAGGATTTAAAAAAAAGAATTAAATATTAATACAATTACAAAAACATCATGTGAATTTACATGTTTAATGTAAAATAAATAATCATAAATGACTGATTATTTAAAGAGCATTTCATTTGTTTAAAGATTAAAATACATAATCATATATTTACTGTTTATTTAATAAACTGTTAAATTAAACTTTATTACTGTTAATAAGTTTATAAAATGACATTAACAGTAAAAGTATGAGTTGTGTAACTTTAATGTATTAGTTAGTGAACTGACAGATATGTTGTATAATGATGGAAGTAGAATAAATGTTGTTTATCAGTGTATAAGGTAAACTGTCCAAATACAGTTGTTATCAGTGTAAACAGCAATAATTACTGTAATCTCACAGATAATGACTTTTATTACACTTCTATAACTTTTAACATTCACATTAAAATAATAACAATCCAATAATAACAGCACTCTGCTGTAAATGTAAGTCTGATTATTGGATTATATTTATAGATCATTGTTTTACACTGTAAATATCTTTAATAATGTTTAATTAAAGATTTTATGCTAAATTAAAGATACAATAACGTTATTTAACTTCTTAAATCTTTAACAGTGATTTTATTTTCTTTTGTTTAATGTTTGTTTGTGCGTAATAATAATATCTTATCATGTGATATGATGTCACTTCCTGTTGTTTGTTTAGAGGTCAATAAAGTTGATCAGATCAGCTGATCAGAAGAATCAGTTTGAACAGGTCGGAGGTTTTCATGAGTCCTGAAGAGTCTGACAGCAGTCCTACCATCCACTGCTCAATGTGCCCCCACTTATTATCCAGACCATAATACTTCTGGAGGAGGGGAGAGGAGGAAGAGGAGGAAGAGGAGGGGGGGAGGAGAAGGGAGAGGAAGAGGAGGAGGAAGAGGAAGAGGAGGGAGAGGAGGAAGAGGAGGAAGAGGAGGAAGAGGAGGAGAAAATGTTAGAACGAGATAAAAAATACTTTACAGGTTTAAAGAGTAAAACAGGTGCGTTTGTTTTAGACCTCTTTGGTGTCTGTGCGGGTGGAGCTGACTGCTCCCTGAGTGGTAAACCCCACCCGGCTGGAGCGCCCAGAGGAGTAAAACTAACAGCAGCGTAGGTTTAAGGTGGAATGGAGGAGTTAGTCGTACCTTGTGGCTGTGAAACAGCTACAGCGGGCGGGAGGAGACACAAGAGGAGAGACTGAAGGTTAGAAACATGAGGTCAGAGGTCAGAGGTCAGGCTGGAGGTCAATGGAAGCATAGCATAGCTCCATCCAACCAAACTCCATTGAGAAAACAATCATTTGATTGTGATGTATTGATCGGTTTATTGATATTGAATCAGTCAGTTCTGATAGAACGAGAGGAGCTCAGTGACAATAACAACATCAACACAATCAATAGAGTCTGTGTTTCCTATCACACCAATCAATCATTATTGATCTTCTGTTCAGAAGTGAGTGCAGAGAATATTCCAGCCACAGCAGCCAATCAGTGATTGATGAGCTCTGATTGGATATCAGTAATCAATGAGCTTCAACCGATCAGAGTTCATTGGTTTGATTGATCTCATTAAAAGTTACACTGTTAGTTAATAATAATAATTATTATTATCATTTCTTTTTAGGCCTTTTATTGCCTTTAATTGATAGATACAGCTGAAGACAGACAGGAGGGGGGGGCAGAGAGAGGGGGGATGACACGCAGCAAAGGGCCGCAGGTAGGATTCGAACCCTGGGCTGCTGCAGCAAGGACTCATGGTACATGGGTCGCCAGCTCTACCCACTGAGCTATCTGGGCGCCACAATAACAGTTATTTCTGAGGATCCACTTTTTAAAAACTACAAACATGGCGTCACAGTGAGAAGAATGCTGAGTAAAGCTGCATTTAAGAACAAAAACGTTTGATAAAACAGTTTGAACACTTTCCAGCTGAACAAATGTTTGTGTGCATTTAGTTCAATTTAAAGACACTTTATAATCTAATAGAAATATTTAGTAACAGTGTAGCACCAGGGCAGATCCTAGAATGCTAAATGGACCTGTACTTGTATAGTTTCCTTTCTAGTCTTCTGACAACTCAAAGCTTTTACACTACACACACATTCACCCTTTCACACACACTCACCCTTTCACACTTTCACACACATTCACCCTTTCACACACACATTCACCCTTTCACACACATTCACCCTTTCACACACACTCACCCTTTCACACACACATTCACCCTTTCACACACACTCACTCAGTGATGGTAAAGTCCATTGAACAGAGACTAACTCATTCACACTCACACACCGCTGCACAGCTTTTGGGGTTCAGTATCTTGCTCAAGGATACTTCAACATGTGACATGAGGAGCCGGGGATCGAACCACCAACCCTCCGATTAGGGGATGACCCGCTCTGCCTCTGAGCCACAGCCTGATTGTTGTTGTTGTTGTTGTTAATATAAGTACTCACTGCAGTTTGTTATAAAGAGTTGTAGAGGTACTCACCAGAGAGAACGGAGGAATAACAGCATCCAAACATCTGCTGACTGACTGAATGACTGACTGACTGACTGACCGACTGACCACACCCACTGTTACTCACACACTGACCTTTGACCTGTGACCTCACACTCAGGAAGTAAACTCACCCTGAACCTGAAACAGTACTGCTAGAACCAGACTCCGCTCAAAGGTTGACCTTTTATTACTTTATTACTGTTTATTATTATTATTATTATTATCACTACTATCAGAGGCTGTGATTGGACGTTGGTTAGAATGAGCAGCCAATCAGGCGAGCCCTCTCTGGACCAATCAGATGAAGCGGTGTGTACCTCTTTCTGTTGTCTCTCCAGCTCCTTCATCCGGATCTCTCGGGCCTCGGCCCTCGCAGCTCGCTTCGCCGCCAGCCTCGCCTCCGCCTGTCGCACACAGATCAATATTATTATTGATTATCTATAATCAAGTCTTTAACCCTTGGAGCCATCACCTGCTGGGAATAAAAATATAAATATGGAAATAACTGTTCAATCGATCACGTCTACCAATGAATAAAATGAACGTTAATGAACATTACTGAACGTTACTGAATGTTTATGAACGTCACTGAATGTTTATGAACGTCACTGAACATTACTGAATGTTTATGAACGTCACTGAACATTACTGAATGTTTATGAACGTCACTGAACATTACTGAATGTTTATGAACGTTAATGAACATTATTGAACATTACTGAAGAATAATGAACATTACTGAACGTCACTGAATGTTTATGAACGTCACTGAACATTACTGAATGTTTATGAACGTTAATGAACATTATTG